TGGACACAAAATACACTGAATAACTTTAGAAATGTTTCTCTAGTTTGTGTTCACATCCAGTTATATGAAATGCGAGTTTGGTTGATTGGCAAGGAAACAAAAGACTGTACACAAGTAAAGAGTGGAAATATATACTCCTTTCAATGAAGAACGATTGAAACGAGAGAGGGTCGTCACCTGCGCAGGCGCGGGAATTGAATCCCAAGCGACAATAACAACGCACGCTAAAACACAAAGGCTCATGGGTAAACGCTTGTTTGTAAACAATTACACGCTATGGCCATCTGACGCATGCGCAGGAGACGACTCCCCCGCTTTAAACACGAAGTCTTCTCAGAAGTATAATGACGAAATGTACACAGCCAGATGAATTGCTGTACAGTTAAATGGATTAGTAGAGATTTATACAGTTGGTAATCATAAAACTTCGGAGAAATCTGGACCTTTTTGATGCAACTGAATATTACGTAACATAGCAACGTAAATGTGTTATTCTCCTGGTGTTTTGTGAAATCCAAACAATATCAGAAACCGTTATCGTTACCAAGTGGATACGTCTTACCCTGCTCATACAACACCTTGGCTTTGTTTCAGTTTCGTTCATGATGATATTTGCAGCGAAGTTATGTATATTTATGTGTTTCTCCTGTTTATTGGTAAGTACATCGTGGTTTAGACCAAACATATGTGATTTATATGTAAACTCAATATCGTTATGTTGAGGTGGGTGTGTGTGTGGGGGGGGGGAGGGGGTAATGTAATCGATCGCTAGTTAAGGACCGGAACTCTTCATCTCTGCGTGACGCAACTGTGACATGTTTTGAGTAACCCTAATGTTTTACAGAGAATCCGTGTCAAAATATTCGAATGTCAATGTTTTTCTTAGATATGATACCGTTCGCCATTTAGGACAAGTGAGTGCGTATGGAATATTGCTGAAATAGTGCCGCGTGTTAATTGAACACATATTCATACATGTTTATTGCGTTGTCTTTGAATTCCTTGAAAGTGGAATAAAGTAACTAGCGTTGTACCAAAAAGTTTAGGCTTTCGTGTTATCTGCGGTGGAAACCAAGAACAATCTTAGGATGAAATGTTTAACATTTTGAATTTTATTTGAAAATAATGCAATCTTTGAAAAATTAGCAGGAAAACCCGGTGCCTCACCCAGTGACGTTATGATATGGTATTTTAAAAAAGTAATTCTAAATTTCGATAAATTATTAGGTTTAAAAAAACAATACGCACATGCACATCGATATCATGATATTGACGTTGGTAATATTGTAATATTGTAATATTGGTTGATAATATTGTAAGCTGTATCTTGACGTGACGAATGCAAAACATATAAAACTGTCGACCAGCGGCCATAAACAGTTGTAAAAATAACATTGAAACATGGTTGAGTGGACATCGTGTGCAGAGATAACAAATAAATAATTCGGGTCACACAGCAAAAAACGTGTTGAGAAAATGCAATTATTCTCGTTCCGTATGTGATAATATGAGGTTATTACGGAGGGTAGCGAAAAGTATGCACGAAGACAGTACAGCGGGAGTATCGACTGGCGTACTGTCTGAGTGCATACTTTGCGGTATCCTCGTAATAACCTTATTATTATACATATTTTCCTCCCAAAGATACATCATGGGAATGCCGAAATCCAAAAAGTTGGTTGCAGCCATGTTTGTTTTATTATTAGATGGCACTTACGCGCGTAATCATTCCATATTTGGAATTCACATTTCCTAATATGGAAGGGTGAAAATACCCTGTAAAATACCGCAAAATTACGGCACGCTGTAACTTATGGCGTTACGGTGACAGATGTATTATAATAACTTAGATTGCTCACCAATATACTCGGTGACCACCTCAATTCTATACCATCGCATTAAAAGCGTTAATAATATAATTATAAAAATAAATGAAACTGGTTTAAAATTTAACTGTGGCTTTCGCTAATACGTTAAATCATTGCCATATACAATAAGCACATTTCACAAATAATTTGTTTTTTATTTATTTTTCACTAGGTGACACGTGTCAATGCCGGTAAGTTGAATATTTCAGGTATAACAAGTGAAAAAAATGAATTAAAAAGTTCTTTAAACATTATACGTCATTCTGATTGGCGTGTAAGCGTGTTTCTAATTCCGTTGTAGAATGTATCCTATAATCGCAGTAAGTATGCTTGTTCCAGGCTCATGTTTATTTTACCATGGTTGCAAGTAGAACGTTTTGTGATACGTATCACATTGTACATTTCATGTCATATTACATTTAAAATGAATTTGGCATAATATGTCAATAAACCGCCGCCAGATTTTATAATATTGACCCTATATACAAACTCTCTGAAGCTTGTGTGTATATGTCATGAATTCCACAGCATTGACGGTAGTCTGTTTCCTCATCTGTATTCACTGTGTAATTATACCAGATACCCGAACAATAACGAACATAGCCGAACGTTAATATACCTCTTGTAGCGTTGATATATTAATTACATTTTAATACTCTATGTATATCGACCTCATAATGCTGTATTGTTTTGTTCAACCTACTTAAAGGACGGTAGTCATTGCGCTGCGCATGTGCGACATCGTGTTGACAAACATTGATTTTCCCACAATTCAATGCGCTCTTCTAATGGAAATCACAAGTATGAGGCTTGGCCTGGGCGCGATTTTCATTGATTACCGCCGGTGACTCCTTCGATACCTTCCAATCACCTAAAAATACTTAATTAAAGATTTGTTACGACTCAGTTTGTAATTGTTGATCTGCCCAACAGTCAAAGTCGCCGTCTTTGTTTATATGAGACACACATCTATCTCGCGCATGCGTGGCTCGACGACTACCGCCCTTTAAGCAGTTGATGTATTATAAAATGTTTGTTAAAGAATGTTTTCTTACACAGTTGAACAAAATCGTGTCGTTGTCAATATAATGTGACGAAGAATAGCAATGTCAACATCACGAATTATAAGACTATTATGTGTTTTCAGTGCAATGGCAATCGTCAGAAATCTTGCAGCCAAAGTGTTGATTCATTGTTTCGTACATTTTTATGTATTTTGTGCTATTGGCTACACGTCTTGGCAATTCTTAAGTCAAAGTAGATACTAGAAGACAGCAATAGATAACTTAAAGAGTTGAGTCCCAAGCGACGATAACAACACACGCTAAAACGCAAAGGCTCATGGGTAGACACTTGTTTGTAAACAATGACACGCTATGGCCATCTGACGCATGCGCAGGTGACGACTCCCCCGCTTTAAGAAAAATGGAATAATGTGACTTAGTAATTTGCAATTTAATTTTTTGTACTTTTTTGTTTTATTTTTTAGTTTGTCTAGCGGTGGATGAATATGAATTTAATTCAAATTGTTATCACGTCTATGACGGAAGCTTCACTTTTGACGACGCCTCAAAAATGTGTATGCAGAATGGGTACGTCATGGCTTCAATCATTTCATCTGAAGAGCACACATTTCTAGTAGACCTCTTAAATACGAAGTACACCGGTGAAATGTATTACGTAGGGGCCACGGATGCTGCCACGGAAGATGTATGGCTATGGCAGAACGGCGATCCCTGGCTGACAGACGTGATGTGGTCGGGCGGAACGGTACCAGCTAGTGATCAGGCCCGTGACTGTGGTGTGCTGTATAAAAGTAAACTGTCAACTATGTATGCACTTGTCTGTACGACCCTGGCTGGGGTCATATGTCAAAGTGAGTATATACTAATACCCAGAGTTAATGGGAAACCAACATTGCATATTACAGCGTGTGACATGATGAGAGTGTGTGTGGTTATTTGAAGACTGTAAACGCTTTCTATCATTCTAAACTGGTCACCAGATTTAACAACTGTTTCTGTGTTTTACACTTAAATCTACATAAGCGAAGGCACGCCTCAATAGGTCTCGATTGTATACAGCGCCAGCAGTGACTGTTCCCGGCTCCATGCGTCCAGATTCGATACAGTGTTCTAACAATTTGAGCATCACTAATTTTGGCGCGAACAAATTATGCCATATTTTGCACATATTTATGAATTATTCCATTTTTTTAAATTGTTTTGAACAAGACAGGTGTATTCGTTCATTGGCCACATCTCTTGATTAATACTATAAATAAATAAATAAATAAATAAATAAATAAATAAATAAATAAATAAATAAATAAATAAATAAATAAATAAATAAATAAATAAATAAATAAATAAATAAATAAATAAATAAATAAATAAATAAATATTATACATTTATTCTTAAAAGTTAATGAAAAAATAATGTAAAGTGCTTCGTTTGGCAAAGTTCATGCTGACCCTAGAATAAAATTGTTTTATTATAAATAAAAACCTGAAATTCGACCAGGATGAACTGATGCACACCTACTATGGAACTATGTTAATGCGAACCTTTTGTTAAGAAGCGATATGTAAGTAATTCCTCTGCGCCATGGAAATTGGCAGACACGTTTGTTTGAATTAGCACTGAACACACAGCTCATGCCAATAATATTCGTACATATGTATTGTGTATCACCATGGCAACGTCTGCTAATATCTGCAACCTTTCTAAGAAAGTGGGTGAATATTAAAAGTGTGAGTAATTGTAGAGCGTTATTCACCTGTATAGAAGAGTGGGTGACCATACAATACGTTTGTCAAATGGAAATATACAGCAATTTTAATTTTACGTGGTAACATTAACTATTTCTATTCTATTAATTAACCAATTGAATGTCAACGAAACGTACGTCATTATTAAATCAATTAAGGTATTAATCCAGAATCAAGAACTAATGTTATCGATTGATTAAAATTGATTGATTTATTGCTTTTGATTGATCTAAAATAAAAAAAATGTATAGTCAATGTAAACTAGAGAAATCCACAATACGCCAAAGTGTACCCGCCCTCACTCGTACGATATTTGTGCGTGACTATGTTTCGTTTATCGCATATTTCATCCATTTATATTAAAGCTCCTACAACGATAAGTACACCAGCTGTTACGTCATCTACTAGTACAACACCAACGACTACGTCATCTACTAGTACAACACCAACGACTACGTCATCTATTAGTACAACATCAACGACTACGTCATCTACTAGTACAGCACCAACGACTACGTCATCTATTAGTACAACACCAACGACTACGTCATCTACTAGTACAGCACCAACGACTACGTCATCTACTAGTACAACACCAACGACTACGTCATCTACTAGTACAGCACCAACGACTACGTCATCTACTAGTACAACACCAACGACTACGTCATCTACTAGTACAACACCAACGACTACGTCATCTACTAGTACAACACCAACGATTACTTCATCTACTAGTATAAAACCAACGACTACGTCAACAACTAGCACATCTGCTTCAAGTACGCCGACACCGATTACTAAATCACCAAGCACTAAATCGACGACCTCAATAACAACAAATTCTACTACTCCATCGTCCACGTCAATGAAAATGACATCACAATTTAGTAAAGAAGCTATGTTCCATGACTTTGGAATGGTTGCACCCACTGTTGGCTGTCTTGTAACCATAACAACAAGGAATGCCATTCGATGTGGCCATTATTGCGTAAAACACAATGACTGTCACTCATTTTCTTTCGCACATAAACTACTTGAATGCAAAATATTCGGCAGCAGTGCTGACACAAATTTACAGTCACAGAAAGACCCGGATGTTCAATATTTTATGAGATACTGAGACACATTATCTTTTGATGGTATAACTCTTGCATTTTTGTGACATTATGGTAGCCATAATATATTATGTGTCTCAATACGATATCTATATTCAGTTCTATAATGTTTGTACATTGACCAATCATGTGCAATATGATAAATTATATTATATACGTCATAATCATATCAACCAATCAGATTCGCTTACTAGTATTTGCCTAGTCAATATAATCATGTATTAACCTCAAAGTTTTGCGCTGGGGGAGGGGGTTGCTCGACATGTTCTCGAATTGATAACATCGTATTTGTGAACAGGTTGAACAACTGTAATATCTTCTTATCAAGTGTACATTATCGTGTAAACATATGTCATATTTACCGTTTCATATTGTTTGGGCAGGGGTGGTAGCACAAAGTATTAATACTATGACCCAGGGTTGAACAATAACACCGACAAAACAGAGCGAAGCCCTGAGATGGCTTTCTTATTTCTACAAGCTAGCAAGTGCTGAATTCTTTGTAGATCATTTTCATTAACCATATTTACAACGAAAATAAATATCCGACTCGCGATATTTTGCCCATTTTCAGCAAAGAATTTACATACTAAGATATAGTATGAAAATGCATTTAAAGCGGGAGAGTCGTCACCTACGCATGCGTCAGGTGGCCATAGCGTGTCATTGTTTACAAACAAGCGTCTACCCACGAGCCTTTGCGTTCTTAGTGGGTGTTGTTATCATCGCTTGGGACTCAATTCTCTCGCACATGCGCAGGTGACGACCTTCCCGCTTTAATATATATATATATATATATACAAATTTTGTTCCGATTTTTGTCAAATAGTATGGAAATATTTAACATTCACTTGATTAAAACATATTCAGTATGTCTGAAAAATTATATTGTGTTACATTTGATCTCCACATCAAACCTTGCCAGCTACCCGCGACGTAGCGCACAGTGCTCTCAACCACTGCTATGGGTCTCAGTTAGCTATTTGTTCATGCTCGTCCGCTTCTACTTTCATGTTTTTCTAGTTGGCACAGTTGGAATCTGAAAATAATGTCACTGCCGGCGAATACCGGAGGTAACGGTGATATTTTCAAAGCAGTGCTGATTTTTCTTCGCACTATGCGATCAAATAAAATACCAGTACTGCTTTTTAAAAACACTGTCCGATATCTCCCTTATATATATCGCCGCGGACATCCTCTTAATGTCTTGGGCTGAGTTGAGTTTTATATCAGTACTTGTAACCAGGAGACAATTAAGTCCCCAGTCACTAAATTTTTAGCGTAGCTAATCCTGAAACTTGAATTTTCAAGGCATTTCAGGAAGTATTGACGACGTATAACAACGTTAAATATTTATTTCGTCAAGGTAATATATGCGGGTTAGATTATATTGTTCGTGATTTATTTCGATCGAAGTGGGCCTATTGTTCTGTTTGCTTTAGTTGTATTTTGTAGTTTGTGTGGTCCTAGTGGTCCCAGTGACCTGATTTTTTTGCTTATAATTGTGACAGTCATTTTGGAACGGATTATGAAAAAAATGATAATACGAACGAACCAGGAGATTGTGATGAACCAACGTAACAAAAACAACGATGAATAGAAATATCCGAGATGGGGGAGAAATACATTGCAGTGGATTGAAGATCTAATAGTTCAGTATTTTTCTCATTATGTGTATTGTATTATGATCGATGTAAAGATTTCGTGACCCTCAGAGAACATTTCTCTCTTCAGAGAAACAGATCTGTATATTGACCCTGGCCGGGGTCAATATTTGCATATTTCTATATACTATATTTAGATATTGTTGTACTATCAGACTATGGGGGCTCACGCAACTGTGTTCTATCAGTCTGAATTTGCATAACATTAACACAATTACGGCATAAAATATAGTAACATAATACTGTGGAATACTTTATTTTAGCTGGAATTAATTTTCGCTGAAAAGACTTTTTGGGCGTTTTGTATGGAATTTATTTTCACTGATTTTTGATGAGTTTAATCTGAAATATAAAAAAAAAAGTATATTCGCTGGATTTTATTTTCACGGAATCATCCTTTCAGCGAAAATATCGAAAATAAATTCCAAGCGAAAATAAAGTATTCCGCAGTATTATGCTACAACTCAAGATCATAAGGGAATAGACCATTTCCCGTTCACTGCGAGAATCACGCGTTATGCGTGAAATCGAACGTAAAAACAGGACAAACAAAGGTCATAGCGTCGTAGTGGCGTCAAACATCGCGTGGGATTCGACAAACGCGAAAGTATTTTGGGGACATTTCCATGCTTAATAATGTGCTGTCCACATTTGATGATAGGCAATTTCGATTAAGTAAGGGTATTCGGAAGCAATATTCCTCGGCCGGTCGGTGTGAGCTACGAAATAAGGAAATTCGAGTTCAAAATCAAATCGGCAAACGTTCGACGCGCGTCTTTCATGCATCTCGCGAGATTTCGCAATTGTACGGAAAATCACCTATTGAAATAAAGCGCTTCGGACAAAGAATGTATCAGCTGTGATCACATTTGATCTGGTGGTGGACGCAATTTTTTTGACATGGGTATTGTGTTTGCTGCAGTTTCGTTACGAGATGGAATTATCGATCACGTGACCCACATTTGCATGTATGGTATAATGTTTTTGTAAAAGAAATATACGTTAGGTAACAATGCAATCAATAACTGTTAAAGAATTCTAATGTTGTTCCATTTCATGCTGTATTCGCAATATAGATATATATTTTTTACAAAAATCAATGACCAATACCGGGCAGTCTGCTTGGAAGTTTACAAAAGAAAACACTCTAAAAAGCAAAGATATTACTCGCGATATGAAAAACTGAAAGCATAGGAAGAAAATAAAAAAGTGATTGAGGTAGTATGAATGTAGTGTTTGTGTACACACGCACCAGTGACAATCATTCGTGGTTAATTCATGCTTACGTACGTTTACAATGGGTTTTGAACAGAAGAATTTGAAGAAGAACTTTGCATGACCGATGTGTTGTTTTATTAAATTTGTGGTTTGTATAGATTAATATCTAATATTAATTTGTGCCATTTGATTAATTTTCAGTCAGTTTATTCTGTAGCATAATACTGTGAAACATGTCTTTTTAGCGAATTTAGCAAGAGAACTGATTCGCTAATTCAAGATGTCGCTAATGACTTTATTATAAAATTAATTCAAAATGACCAAGGCTTGGGGATTTGTATACAGTAATCCGGAACATAAAAATCTGGGGCGCTTTCTAATTACACTTGACAGTTTTTCTTTGTTTTTATGGAGATGATAACTGCACATTTGTTTTGGCATGCAACAGACAGGTATTGTAAAAACAGGAAATCAACAATGATGAGAGATTCGCTAAATCAACATTTCGCTATTACGCCATTTTACCACAATTCGCTTTATGAACATGTTTTACAGTAGTAGTTCGTTGAAATGGTTTTAGCTTTCACAATTGTTTAACTGTGTGTACTATTTTCATAGTAGTCATAATGTGTAAACCAGAATTGGTATTTGCGTATAGTCGAGATTTGTAACGAAAACACCAAATAAACTGTAATACCGCGCTATGCTTACGTATCAGCAAAAGACGTTGAGATATAAGTGTGGGGAAAAAGAGAGAAAAAGACAAATATTATTTTTATCAAAATTTCAATTATTTCTATACCCTTGAACTGATCCGCTGTCAGACTCCGTAGCCCAAAAGAGAACTGTAATGTTCAATATCAAAGAATAGCATGGATTCTTACGGAAAAGCAATTATAGCGAACATTTAGGACACACATACCGCAATTCAGATTATGATATTGAACAATTCTTTTACCAAATCACGTACTGCAATGTGTGCACGTGTAAACAAACACTCGTGTGAAAGCGATGTAGCTGTTAGAATATATCTGAATGGGATGTCACATTCAATAGAAATGTAATGTACACGCTGAAACACAACCAGCTGAGATAATGAATGAATCAAGTAAGTATGTTATTATTTTTATTCAATACAATTAATAACAAAACGTTATTCTCTCACTTCATACACTGAAATTGTCGCGAGTGTCGTATCCATGGAAACTGCTAGTGCCATGTTAAAATAACTATTATTCTGTAAACGATAATTACCACAGTAAGAAACAAAAACAAAACACACACTTGTCCGGCTCAAACCCCCAAACAATGAATAGAAAACCGTTTTGTGTTACTGTTTTCAATCACCCCGGAAAAGCATGTAGGATTTTTTTAATTATCGCGAAAACTCAAAATACAAGTTCAATTATAATGACAATTATAAAATACGAACCGACCACCGCATCGGATATTTTTTTTTCAAAATTAGTCACATATATTTTACTTGATTTGCTGACCGTCAACTTCGATCTAGCTAAGCTGGTTTATCGATCACAAGTCATTTACACTTAATTCCTTCTATTGCGATGAAAGAGGAATCGATTAGCAAAAACAGTAATTGATTTACCGTGTAGATTACAACAAACACAACACATACATTCTCTCACTTCATCGGATGTCGTTATCAGGATTACGTGTAAGTACTTCCTCTGTTGTTTTCACGTTATGCTACCAAGTATTATATTGTAGGCTTTATTTATTTATTTATTTATTTATTTATTTATTTATTTATTTATTTGTTTA